AGCATAAGAGACTTTTTTCAAGGAGTGCATGTGTCAGGCGGTGTATCTGACTAGTCACCACACAGCTGTCAAGGCGTTAAGGCCGGCGCTACCGAGTACTTAATGTTTGCTCTAACGAGATGGTCTCTAATGTAGTTCTCACTAAGTCCTGTAAGTGTGTTAGTCGTCCCGCCGCACTATTTCGCGGTCTATGAACGTCACCGTGTAAACTGCGCGGGGTCAGGATGCTCATGCGGTGTGCGGAGAATAGCACCAGCAAGTACACCTGGCACGCCTCGGCGCCTGTTCCTGCGTGCCCACAGGACCAACATGAAATTTGAATAAGGAGACTTAATCATATTCTTCTTATTCGTGTTGCTTTCGCTGCACGAGGACAGTGCGGGCAGCTTGCGTTGCGTATCTGTGTTTTGCGACGCGATGTGGGCATTGTGAACCGGCGGCCATTTGTTAATACATCGAGCCTTTATATTTATTAGGGCGAGATAGAGTTGATTAGGAAGACATTAAGATTTTTGTGGGTTTAATTTACGCAGTTATATTTTGGTTCTTTGAATGGAAAGGTTAAAGCGTTCCGAGTAGTGCCTGTGGCCGGCTGGGGTTCACTTCTACGAACAATGTTTTTGGGTCAGAGTCTTCTCCATTGTCATAATTATCAAGTCCGTGTAAGCTGTATCATAGCTGCTCATTCAAGAGCTGAGAGAGTCCATGTCCCCCAGGGCACTGGCCGGAACGTCACACTGGTGTACTGGGCCGGTCATACCTACCGGAACGCGTACGCCTGGCACTATCTAATAGCCGGATCGTGACCTCGCCTACTCCACTCAACGAGTCTAGGGAGTCGCACTACGCTACTCCGGTGAAGCCCTAACCTTAAACCATATCTATTTATCAATAGTTACCAGGGAGGTTCGGTAGTACCGCACCGCGTACTCAGTACGTTCCGGCAGTACCCTGGGACATAGGACTAAGAATGCATTAAGACATTACAGTTAGTTACTAGCTGTCTGCCCGACCAGTGCTGGTGTGCTAACGCATAACAGCAGCCTGACGTCCATCCAATGGATTAACTCTTGTACCGGTTGCGAAAACTGCCGAACACTGTCGTATATCCTCCAAATAAGAAAATCAATCTAAGCATTTCTGCCTGTTCTTGTGATCAAGTAATGTATAAACATTACAGCTTATAGTATCAGCGTTTTTATTACAAACTAAACTACTCCGCCGTTGCTGTGCAACAGTGTAAATATCATGAGCCGAACCTAAAATTATACTTTAACCGCCACCGGCATGTTTCACTGGCATTCTAGCCGTTCCGATCGGAGGTGGAAACCTCGACAACAGTAACATAACTACCATAGCGTTGCAACATCGGGTTGGCGACTCGGGCAAAATAACATCATATACTCGTATATATATAATAATCAGGGTTCGCCCACGAGGATGTGAAATTCCAACAGGGGGAGGGGAGGGGAAGGGGGAGGGAACTAGGAGAGTCCGGGGGCGTGGGTGGTTTTGTCTAACCTGTACCACTAATAATGCGTGAAATCGCACCGACACCAGTATAGGGTATTTGGCGTTACTTGTATACTAAAGATAGCGAGTCGGTGTAGCTGTATGCTTGGGTGTGGGACAGGTTAACTTGTAATTTGCATGCGTGCTGCGTGCATGGCGTGGCACGTAAAAATAACATCTCGCCCGGCGGTGCTCCTGGTCGAATATTGGAATTCTTGACGATCGATTTCGCGGCGCGTGGCAACTTTTTATTGTGGAATTTAATCGGTCGGAGGAATTTAACACGCCGCAACGATTGTCGAAAAGAGTGGGGATGAGTTTTACCCAAACGGGGCCGCCGCGCCTTTGCGGCAACGCTAGGAGAACCCTTGTAATATTAAAAACATTGAAACCATGGAGACATATCTGACAACAATTAATAAGTATCATTACGAAGAATCATGTACTGGCTGGTGTTTAGCCTACCATTCTTGAAAAATCCAGGTCCATTGCATTTAGTCGCCGAACATGGCGACATGGCGGCGTCTGGTTGTTATTCATGTCAATTCATCTCAAAATAATGCATAACATCGATAAATAAGTACGCCCAGTACTGCGAACAAGACATGAGTTTATTAGATTGTTTGAGCTATTAATATTATTACGGTAGCTGTTGCGATGTTTGGGATACCGAGCCATAAACTACAAGTATTCTTTATGCGGCAAGAATTTTGAAAACGGTCTTCATAACCCTAGCAAAGACCGTTTCTTAGAGCTACTGCTGATACTGAGTTACTACTACTAGCTCCAAGAAACGGTCTTGCTAGGGTTAGACTATGTGATCATAATATCATGAGACTATACTGTATTGTATAGACAATGCCAGTCGACAGGCCTTCGTCGGGCTCTAAGTCCTAAGCTACACACGGCTACATAGACCTACAGTACACTGTACAGGCCCACCGATTTCAGATCTGACTCTACTGGAGATGCATTGTTGAAAAGTACTAAGTAGCAGATCGATGTCTAAGCCATCATAAATACTGCCTGTTGTGTTGATCTGTCAATTTTGATCTATTAGACTTTATAGAATACTTATTATAAAGGTTACAATGTTATATCTCAAATTATAAGGAAACTGACAGAGATGACAAACGTCAGTTTTTAAATATACTGGCATACGTATACATATAGAATATAGGCAATCAGGCGTCTCTCCTCAGGATGAAATTCAACGGGGGAGGGAGTAGGGGGGAGGGGAAGGGGGGGGGGGGAACTAGGGGGTTCGGGGCGTGTAAATTTTTTACCGGACGGCCTAATATTGGTAGATTCGGACACAGCGCATCGACGGTGTTTGGGGTTTTGTATATATAGGAGAGTAGCGCGAGTCGGTGTACAGTAGTCACCCAGACTCACAGTTAACTGCTGCATTGTCAGGTTAACTCTGTTCTGTTCTGACGTGCATGGTCAGATGTCACTGTGTCTTAGGGGCCAATTCTTGAGGATCGATTCGGTCGCTGGTCAAAACTGTTCTTATTCGTGTGGAATTTCCAAACGGGGCGGAGGTAATTTTCTAAACGGGGCGCAACGATTCAAAGGGGGGGAGATTTTCCAAAGCGGGGCGGCGCGGCGCCCGTTTGCCAACGGTGGGAGAACGCGCTGTACTATATATAATATATATTATATAATATATATATATAATATATATATTACATATATATCATTATAATAGCTGAAGATTTATTGGCTGTTGTATCCACAAAGTATACGCTATATCAGATTTTATATATGTTGTTACTCTTGCAGGAATTTAAAGCTAAATGAAATCATACCAGCTCTAAATGATTTCGAAGCCTGAAGGAGTTTGAGTGGCATGATGACACTAAAAAAGCACATCACTTGGATGCTGATGGTGCAATGATCTTCGCTAGTTGTTCCATACATTCCCCAATATAGAATATTAAGCGAACGGAAACTGCAGATGCGATTTCCACATACGTGTGGCCTTGCTTTGCTGCATGCTAATACGCTCAGGATTCTCTTCTGGTAAGTTAAAACTTTTTTTAACATATAATCGAGTGAAATTTTAAATGTCTGTTGACTGCGTGATCACTGAAATGGTCAGCTAATCTAAATTTCCATAATTTTTAGGCAACCAAATGTCTACTTCCAAATTGTTGACAGCTAGTTTTAAATTACTGCTTGAAGTTTTTGTGTGGTTTTTGAAGATTTTTTTTTAACTGTAATACTAAAACACGTAACAGCATGCATAACATTCCTCGATTGTGACTACAAAGCTGCTAACGTTTATCGTTCGCATGGAGAGAATTAGCGGCTGCAAAATTTTGTTTTGGATGTGGGCAGTTTCTCTCTGTTTGTCACTGATGTCACTATGCACTGATATACTTTTTGATCTAAATATTAGCCTTCACATGCAATTTAACACTCCAGAACTTCAGGCTGTGCAATATTTGCATGAACGTTCCTGTGGGCACTGTTGAAGAAAGTTAAACATGCGGAGTCTCCTTGAAAAGTTCATAAATCTATAGTTCAATACAGATATCTGTGTGATCCCCTGAAATTAAAACGCTGCTCACTACTCCAGTTGAGAAACACATGTCCATGGAGAGAATGTTTATCTAATGGGTGAAATAGTGTAATCTATGTGCAAAATCAACTAAATAGGCCCTCTGAATAGAACATGCAGCTATTTACCATGACAGACTTAAGTAAACCTTAAAACAAGCTCTGCTAAATTTTCTGTAGAAACACGTTACATAAATGGGTTCTTTATCGGCATTGTACACATGATTGTAAATTTTGATTTTAGGTTTGGCAACATTCATTGAATCGCCCTACTTGCGCAATAGCATCATAAGCTAAAGCAATGATGTGATGATGCTTGTGCAATCAAAAGCTTTAAAATATAAAAGTGAAGCTGATTTCTTCCAAAGTAAAAACTTCTCGTAGTGAATTCATTTTCTCTGTGTTCGCTCTCTCTCTCTGGCTCCTCTCTCTTCGTCTCTCTGCTCTCTCTCTCTCTCTCTCTCTCCCTCTCTCTCTCTCTCTCTCTCTCTCTTTCTTTTTCTCTCTCTCCCTCCTCTCTTTCTTTTTCTCTCTCTCCCTCCTCTCTTTCTTTGTATCTCCTCTATTTTCTATATCTCTCTTTCACTATTCCTTTCACTAAATCCATCTTTCGCCCACTTTCCACAGGTTAATGGTCTACTCTATTGTCTATTCATATTTTTCTATACACACTACATTTACGTGTGCATGTATGTGTACCATTTGCTGTGTGTGTGTGTGTATATAACATCTATAAGACTACCTATCTATAATACCAGGAGTGTATAATATAGAGATATATATATTATACACTCCTGATAATACTATTCTGTTCTCTGTTCTCTGTTCTCTACTCTATACTTCTGACTCTTCTGTTCACTTTATTTCCGAAAGTGGATGTACTTCTTACTGGACTTCTATAGTTAAACTCATCTTTTTTCTCAGATAGAGACAATGACAGAACAACAATTCAGGGTACACATACTATCACAGAACGCCACTTTCGTGGTAAGAGATAATGATGCAAATAGTATCAGTATACTACTGGTATTTAGGGTGTGAATATGCAGTGCTTGCACACATGAAATACATATTTGCATGACAACACACAAGCTTAGTATGCAGAATGCATGCTTACAGCATACATGAGATGGTATCACTTCTACTTCAAACTTATAAAAGAGTTTCATGTGTGACTCTCACAGAATCATCCACTCGGGTAGAATCAAGAATCTCTGTCACTGAGCGAAAGCTTTTTTGTTCTTCCACTGATTCGGCTGCACATGCCTGCATGTAGGCATGTGCCACATGTATGAGTCTGAGTACTGTGCATGATTCATTAGTGCAATAGACGATGCCGCTCACAGTCACATGCACATATAAGATATCCTGTCCATTTGAGTTGCCTCTGTTGAATAAAAACTCATACGTTCAATTAAAATTATTTGCTGAAACACTAAAATGGCAAGATGAAACTGTAAAGATAACAAAATTGTGATAGCCTGTGCCACTGAATGTGTAAAAGCTGGTAACAACACATAGGGAACGGGTTACAATTTGCCAGTATAATTGCCTTTAAAAAACACTGATACTATACAAAACTCTACGTTTTTTATATATTAAAAATGTTATTACATTTTATATTTTGCATGCAATATTATTTTCCATACATTAAAAATGTGCATATTAATTATTGAAAACAAAAGAGTATGGTGATGTTTTTTTTTTAAACCGACAATGTTTCCTACATGGCAGATTTCGACCGGCAGTACTTCTGGAAGTGGACGTACTTCTCTAGCTATGTTGAGTTCATGGCGGCTTTCTTCGTCGTCGGCTTCTGCCTCACGTTCCTGCTGCTGGAGTCGGACATCTACATTGAGGTGGTCGGCTTTCTCGCCGTCTTCACCGAGGCCATGCTCGGCACACCACAGTTCTACCGCAACTTTCAGAATCGATCTACGATGGGGATGAGGTGAGGTCAGATTCCAGATGGGAATGAGGTGAGGTCGGATTCCAGATGGGAATGAGGTGAGGTCGGATTCCAGATGGGAATGAGGTGAGGTCAGATTCTAGATGGGAATGAGGTGAGGTCAGATTCCAGATGGGAATGAGGTGAGGTCGGATTCCAGATGGGAATGAGGTGAGGTCGGATTCCAGATGGGAATGAGGTGAGGTCGGATTCCAGATGGGAATGAGGTGAGGTGTCGATTCCAAGCGATAGGGGATGAGGTGAGGTCGATCTCAGATGTGAATGAATGTGAGGTCGATCCAGATGGGAATCGAGGTGAGGTCGATCCAGATGGAATGAGGTGAAGGTCATTCCAGATGGGATGAGGTGAGGTCGACCAGATGGGAATGAGGTGAGGTCAGATTCCAGATGGGAATGAGGTGAGGTCAGATTCCAGATGGGGATGAGGTGAGGTCGGATTCCAGATGGGAATGAGGTGAGGTCGGATTCAGATGGGAATGAGGTGAGGTCAGATTCCAGATGGGGGATGAGGTGAGGTCGGATTCCAGATGGGAATGAGGTGAGGTCGGATTCCAGATGGAAAGAGGTTGAGGTCAGATTCCAGATGGGGATGATGGGTTGACGGTTGAGATTCCAGATGGGAAATGAGGTGATGGTCGGATTCCAGATGGGAATGAGGTGAGGTCAGATTCCAAGATGGAGGAGACGGCTGAGGTCGGATTCCAGATGGGAAATAGGTGAGGTCATGATTCCAGATGGGAATGAGGTGAGGTCAGATTCCTAGATGGGGATGAGGTGAGGTCGATTCCCCATGAAGGAATGAGGTGAGGTCGGATTTCAGATGGGAATAGTAGGTGAGGTCAGATTCCAGATGGGGGATGAGGTGAGGTCGGATTCGCAGATGGGAATGAGGTGAGGTCGAGATTCCAGATGGGAATGAGTGAGGTCAGATTCCAGATGGGGATGAGGTGAGGTCCGTGATTCTAGATGAGAATGATTGAGGTCGATTCTCAGATGGGAATGAGGTGAGGTCGGATTCCAGATGGGAATGAGATGGAGGTCAGATTCCAGATGGAATGAGGTGAGGTCGGATTCTAGATGGAGAATGAGGTGAGGTCCGGATTCCAGATGGGAATGAGGTGAGGTCAGATTCAGATGGGGCATGAGGTGAGGGTCGATTCCAGATGGGAATGAGGTGAGGTCGGATCAGATGGGAATGAGGTGAGGTCAGATTCCAGATGGGGATGAGGTGAGAGTTCAGATTCCAGTAGAATGATGGTGAGGTCGGATTCCAGATTGGGAATGAGGTGAGGTCACGATTCCAGATGGGGATGAGGTTGATGTTGGAGTACCAGATGGAATGAGGTGAGGTCGGATTCCAGATGGGAATGAGGTAGAGGTCAGATTCCAGATGGGGATGAGGGAGGTCGATTCTAGATGAGAAGAGGTGACGGTCGGATCCAGATGGCAATGAGGTGAGGTCGGATTCCAGATGGGAATGAGGTGAGGTCAGATTCCAAGATGGGATGAGGTGAGGTCGGATTCTAGATGAGAATGAGGTGAGGTCGGATTCCAGATGGGAATGAGGTGAGGTCAGATTCCAGATGGGGATGAGGTGAGGTCGGATTCCAGATGGGAATGAGGTGAGGTCGGATTTCAGATGGGAATGAGGTGAGGTCAGATTCCAGATGGGGATGAGGTGAGGTCGGATTCCAGATGGGAATGAGGTGAGGTCGGATCGCAGATGGGAATAGGTGAGGTCAGATTCCAGATGGGGCCCTGAGTGTGAGGATCGGATTCTAGATGAGAATGAGGTGAGGTCGGATCCAGATGGAAATGAGGTGAGGTCAGATTCCAGATGGGAATGAGGTCGAGGTCAGATTTCTAGATGGCAATGAGATGAGGTCGGATTCAGATGGGAATGGAGCGTGAGGTCAGATTTCAGATGGGGTTGCTCAAGGTGAGGTCGGATTCCAGATGGGATGAGGTGAGGTCGATTGCCAGATGGGGACAGAGGTGTGAGGTCGGATTCCAGAATGGGAATGGAGGTGAGGTCGGATTCCAGATGGGAATGAGGTGAGGTCATGATTCCAGATGGGGATGAGGTGAGGTCGGATTCCAGATGGGAATGAGGTGAGGTCGGATTTAGATGGGAATGAGGTGAGGTCGGATTCCAGATGGAATGAGGTGAGGTCGGATCTCAGATGGGAATGAGGTGAGGTCGGATTCCAGATGGGGATGAGGTGAGGTCGATTCTAGATGAGAATGAGGTGAGGTCAGATTCCAGATGGGAATGAGGTGAGGTCGATTCCCAGATGGGAATGAGGTGAGGTTGGATTTCAGATGGGATGAGGCTGAGGTCGAGATTTCCAGATGGGAATGAGGTGAGGTCGGATTCCAGATGAATGAGGTGAGGTAATTCCAGTGGGATGAGTGAAGGTCAGATTCTAGATGAGAATGAGGTGAGGTCGGATTCCAGATGGGAATGAGGTGAGGTCAGATTCCAGATGGGAATGAGGTGAGGTCAGATTCCAGATGGAGAGGTAGTTGGATTCCAGATGGGAATGAGGTGAGGTCGGATTCCAGATGGGAATGAGGTGAGGTCAGATTCCAGATGGGGATGAGGTGAGGTCGGATTCTAGATGAGAATGAGGTGAGGTCGGATTCCAGATGGGAATGAGGTGAGGTCGGATTCCAGATGGGAATGAGGTGAGGTCAGATTCCAGATGGGGATGAGGTGAGGTCAGATTCTAGATGAGAACTGAGGTGAGAGCGGATTCCAGATGGGAATGAGGTGAGGTCAGATTCCAGATGGGGATGAGGTGAGGTCGGATTCCAGATGGGAATGAGGTGAGGTCGGATTTCAGATGGGAATGAGGTGAGGTCAGATTCCAGATGGTGAATGAGGTGAGGTCGGATTCCAGATGGGAATGAGAGTGAGGTCAGATTCCAGATGGGATGAGGGTGAGGTCGGATTCTAGATGAGAAGAGGTGAGGTCGGATATCCAGGATGGGAATGAGGTGAGGTCAGATTCCAGATGGGAATTGAGGTGAGGTTCAGATTCTAGATGGGAATGAGGTGAGGTCGGATTCCAGATGGGAATGAGGTGAGGTCAGATTTCAGATGGGGTTGCTCAAGGTGAGGTCGGATTCCAGATGGGGATGAGGTGAGGTCGGATTCCAGATGGGGATGAGGTGAGGTCGGATTCCAGATGGAATGAGATGAGGTCGGATTCCAGATGGAATGAGGTGAGGTCAGATCCAGATGGGATGGAGGTGAGGTCGGATTCCAGATGGAATGAGGTGAGCTCGGATTTCAGATGGAATGAGGTGAGGTCGGATTCCAGATGGGAATGAGGTGAGGTCGATTCAGAGAGGAATGAGGGAGGTCAGATTCCAGATGGGGATGAGGTGAGGTCGGATTCTAGATGAAGAATTGAGGTGAGGTTCAGATTCCAGATGGGAATGAGGTGAGGTTGGATTCCAGATGGAATAATGAGGTGAGCGTTGGATCCAGATGGGAATAAGGTGAGGTCGGATTCCAGATGGGAATGAGGTGACGTCGATTCCAGATGGGAATGAGGTGAGGTCAGATTCTAGATGGGAATGAGGTGGAGGTCGATTCCAGATGGGAATGAGGTGAGGTCAGATTCAGATGGGATGAGGTGAGGTCAGATTCCAGATGGGGATGAGGTGAGGTCGATTCCAGATGGAATGAGGTGAGGTCAGATTCCAGATGGGGATGAGGTGAGGTCAGATTCTAGATGAGAATGAGGTGAGGTCGGATTCCAGATGGGAATGAGGTGAGGTCAGATTCCAGATGGAATGAGGTGAGGTCCAGATTCCAGATGGGAATGAGGTGAGGTCAGATTCCAGATGGGAATGAGGTGAGGTCGGATTCCAGATGGGGATGAGGTGAGGTTGGATCCAGATTTGAATGAGGTGAGTAAAAGGGTGCAGTAGTGGTTTAGTGGATGTCACACTTTATTTCAACTGAGATGTTTCAGGCTCAGGTCCCACTGTGATCACTGCTGTTGTGCTCTTGAACAATGCACTTCTCGTCTCCTTTTTTTTAGTCAACAACCACTGTAGAATTTGGTTTCATGCTGGCATAAGCGTAACGGCCTAACTGGCATAACAGCGAGTGCTTTGTTTGGTACAGCATGGTAATGAAACTAATGCAACACAGTTGTAGATTCATGTGTGGAGCTTAAAGGACGGAAAATCATGAAATGATGAGTCACATTATAAAGCCATTATGATTGTGTGAGTAGTGCACTTATTTTGGCATTTTTGATAGCAGACTATGACCATGGATCATGTACATCAGCTGAATAATAACTATTGAGACTATTTATATATTAATGCCTGTTGTTGGGGGCACTATTCTCTCATAGTGCCCCCAACAACAGGCATTAATGTTTTTAATGCATCACATGACTTTGCAATCTACTCGGCAAATATGAAGTGAATAAGACAAAGTTTCTAAACGAACAATTTCAATTTGTATTCAAACACAATGCGTTATAATAACAATGTGTCGCGCAAGCAATAGTACCTGCGACGTTATCCAATAGAATTTCAACGATTTATCATGTGATGCACTAACAATAGTTAATATAAGGAATCCTTATCCATATTCTAAGTTCACAAACGATCTATTGATATCGGATGTCTACTTTAGCAATATATCTACAGTTCGAATTATTGTTGCACCCCTGTGTGTTGTGTCCCATTTGTTCTGGCTATAAAGTTGGGTCAGATGTCAGCTCAAAGCAATGCTCAATTTCTGTCACCACAGAGCTGTGTGTGATGATAACTCGAGAATCAATGCCACATTTCTGTCGCTACAAAACTGTGTAAAATGTAAAGATTGACTAGACATGACATATCTGTGGTTACAGAACAATGTTAAATATAAGTTCTAATTAACATAACATTTCTGTCGCTCCAAAACTGTGTAAGATGTAAGGATTGACTACACATGACATTTTTTGTCATTACAGAGCTGTCAGAGAACGTGTGTATAGTGACCATGATACATCCATGTATTTTTACAGTGTGAAGATGGTGGGCTGTTGGATGATGGGTGACACCTTTAAGACAGGGTACTTTATCCTGAGGGAAGCGCCCGTCCAGTTTTGGGTGTGTGGACTGATGCAGGTATGCATATGAGAACCGCTTTGGTGATAAAAACGCCAGCTTTTGTAAGAACCCGCCAATATCTATTACAAAATCGATTTATCCATATTTCAAAAGTGATGACGTGAATTTATTACAGTAGCTGTTGAGTTTTATCACACCTGATGATTTTCATTGCTAGCAGTGGCAAGATATTACAAAACTTACAAGTTTTTATCAAATCTGTTTTGATTACGATGGTGGTGGATTCTTTCAGAGGCTGTTTCAATTACGGAAGTGGTTAAATTGTAAGGTGTTGAGATTTTTCCCACTCTTGTTCAGCTCCAACTTCTGTCTTGATTTAAAGTCAGCGTCACCACCAATTTCTAACATCATCGGTCATCGGCATAGAAAAAATATAAATATTTGCACTAGACCAATAATCACACAGATAAAAAAAATTACTAGGCTATATATTTTTTACCAGACCAAGTGTAAATTACAAAAAACTGATGCTCAATGTAATCAAAAATCAATGTAATGCATGTTCTTCAATCACACACCCTTTGACTGGGCCAAGCCCAATTTTTTCATGTACAACTTGTATATTTATACCAGCCATGATGGCCATGTGTGTTGGCTTTGATTTTATTTCTTTGTTCTCAAGCGATGGGAAGTTAATTAAGTTATGCTGTGGCGTTTGCCATTGCAGGTGAGCATAGACCTTGCCATCTTGTTCCAAGTGTGGCTTTACAAGGGGAACGTGCCACATCGACAGCTATAGTTGCAGTCCTGGTCTGTACTGGTCACATCACAACACCATACTGTGATGTTGGGAATGACTGCAACTAGACTTGTCAGGTGATCTTACAAATACCAGACAACTACCCATATATGTATATATAATAGACATGTTCTGTATCACCCCATCTATTCCCTCGGATGGATATAAAATCCTCCTTAACCCCCACGTCTGGCAAACCTAGGTGCAACTGTAATGCCAAATAGTTGTGTTCTCATTCCTGTGCCAACATTTGGCAATATTGCTCAGTTAAGTCATTATAATTGGTTAATTACTTCCAAAAATCCAGTAAATTCCTTCCTCTGCTCATTAATTTACAACTATTTAGCTCGATACTGCATAATAATATTGTTAGAAAATGTAAATAAATATGTAAAAATTATATATTTTACTAAATTTCTTTTCCTGGGTGGACTTACCGAATTACCACTAAGTCTGTTTTAGTACTCCATATCTGCCAAACCTAGGTGCAAGAATAATTTCTTTGTTCTGACTTCTGTGCCAACCAAATTATTGCTCGGTGAAGTTTTTATTACTTGTAAATTCCACCTGAAGATGGCGCTGCTAACAAATTTACAAATTGCATCTCACATTGCAATAAGAGACTGCAATGTCATTCTGTATACTATTCATGTATGCTTTTAATATACATTGAAGTGTGTAGCTAGAGTATATTGCGTGGAAAGCAACAGGCAACCAGTATTACTCAATGTGCACAATAAGTGAGATCGGAAAGTCCCGCCGCCATATTGAGGTCAAAGTGCAAGCAGTATAACATGACTTCGGCGCGCCATTGAGAAGCACACGAACAATGTCAACAGTTGTGCGTTTTTACTTTCTGCATTAACACAAACATTGCACAATGTCCCAAATTGGCACAATCATATATATAAATGTTTCTATAAACAGAAAGGCACCTGTGAATTGAAGTATGATGTTATTGAAGAGAAATATAGATGAAAAACCTAGACGTTCCGACGCAGCCGTTATCTTTGTATTAGACTCGACGTCAGTGTAACGCGAGTGGAACTGTTGACTGTCGAGCGCGGACCTGTCTATCTGCTTGCTAGCTCGAGCTGGCTCTATATAGCTTCTAGTACTAGTACTACTAGTAGTAGTAGTAATAGTAGTAGTAGTAGTAGTAGTAGTAGTAGTATCCACAAAGTATACGCTATATCAGTTTATTATGTTTTTACTCTTGCAGGAATTAAACTAAATGAAATCAACAGCTCTAAATGGATTTAGAAAGCCTGAAGGAGTTTGAGTGGCCAGATATGACACTAAAAAACATCATCACTTGGGGTGCTGCTGGTGCCATGATCTTCGGTGGAGTTGTTCCATACATTCCCCAATATAGAGATATTAAGCGAACGGAAAATGCAGATGGATTTTCCACATACGTGTGCCTTGCTTTGCTCATTGCTAATACGCTCAGGATTCTCTTCTGGTAAGATTAAAACTTTTTTTTAATCTGAGTGAAATTTAAATGTCTGTTGATGCGTGATCACTGATGGTCCATAATCTAATTTCCCATATTTTAGGCAACAAATGTCTACTTCAAAATTGTTGACAGCTAGTTTAATTACTGCTTTGAAGTTTTTGTGTGTGTTTTTGAAGTTTTTTGTTAACTGTAATACTAAAAACCACGTAACACATGCATTCCTCGCATGTAGACTACAAAGCTGCTAACCTTTTCGTTCGCATGGGAGAATTAAGGTGCAAAATTTTGTTTTGGATGTGCAGTTTTCTCTCTGTTTTGTCACTATGTCACTATGCCACTGATATATTTTTGAATCCAAATATTAGCCTTCAAATGCAATATTAACACTCCAGAACTTCAGCTGTGCAATATTTGCATGCAAACCTCCTGTGCACTGGAAGAAAAGTTAACAATCGGAGTCTCCTTGAAAAGTTCATAACATCTTAGTTCAATACAGATATCTTGTGATCCCCCTGAATTAAAACCTGCTCACTACTCCAGTTTGAGAAACACTGTCATGGAGAGATGTTTATCTAATGGGTGAAATAGTGTAATCTAATGTGCAAAACATCAACTAAATAGCCCTCTGAATTAGAACATGCACTCATTTACCATGACAGAATTAAAGTAAACCTTAAAAAAGCTTTGCTAAATTTTATGTAGAAACACGTTACAAAATGGTTTTTCTCGCATTGTAACATGATTGTAAATTTTGTTTTAGGTTTGGCAAGCATTTTGAATCGCCCCTACTTGCGCAAAGCATCATAATGCTAATAGCAATGATGGTGATGATGCGATTGTGCACAAAAGTTAAAATTAAAACTGAACTGATTTCTTCCAAAGTAAAAAGCTTCTCAGGTAAGTGAATCCCTTTTCTCTGTGTTTTTCATCTATATTTTTCTTCAATAACATCATTCTTCAATTCACAGGTGCCTTTCTGTTTATAGAAACATTTATAAATATGATTGTGCTAATTTGGGATATTGTGCAATGTTTGTGTTAATGCAGAAAGTAAAAACGCACCACTGTTGACATTTTTTGCGTACTTCTCAATGGCGCGCCGAGGCAATGTTATACCGCTTGCACTTTGACCTCAATATGGCAGCGGGACTTTCCAATCTGGCTTATACTATATATCATCCATCCAAACTGTGTACTAACTCTGTGGAGAATGTTGAATTCATAAACCTACAGTAACACTGCAGGGTTCTCCCCAAGACTTTAACGCATGTCTGGTCTAACATTAAGCTGAAGCTAATTTGCAACATGTCATATATCCTCCGACATGCGTTAATTGCATTGCGCCATAAGAGGACACTTCCCAGACTAGTACACACATCAGTCAAGACGCGAAGTCCAAGGTAACGATTCAATTCTCCAACTTTATTAGGAGAGAAAGTAACAGGCACAACATGGCTAAGTATCAAGCTGGACACAGAGAGCTTGTCGAACGCTAACGCGCGCAATCTTAGAAAGTGCTGCCATCTAGCAGCACATAACGTCTGCTATTATATAGAACTCCGTACAAGATAAATGCACTATACTGGCGTTGCCTTAATTTCCAGCTGTGTTTTAACAATCCCACCTCAGTCGTACTCTGCAAGTCTGTGTCTAACTTTGTCAGTTGATGGCCTGGCAGCATACGCATACATATTTTATGTATGTAATGGTCACTACGGATAACTAATAATTCACTAGTCAATAGATTGGTGATGGTGTAAGATATCACAGCTTAAGTTGATCATGTCATGAAATTACATTGGAATTGGAACAAAGTGGCATGTCAGGTAGAGCATTTTATTGTGTATAATATTATGTGGGATGATAACCTTGCTTGAGCAGGTGCACATTTATAAAAATGCATCGCCAGTAGGTGACAGCACCGTACATGTGGGCTATTCACTCGGCTTTGTAGTGTACTTCATATTATCAAGAGTAGATAATAACACATAATATGTGTTATTATCTACTCTTCATATTATGGTGATAGTAAACTTAATACGGGTTATAACATTATCCGATGTCAGCCTTGTCCTGCCTAGCTACGAACTGTATTCATGTTGGCTGTAGAACACTGTATGCAACAGAATTCAATTGCCGTGGCAAGCTTGGCCTCACAGGGCTCGAGTCCTCTCTGTAAAATACTCAGAAGAAATATAACGTATATACTACTATAATATAACTCACGATAAATTTCGTGCAGTTGCACTTCTTTAAAAAATGTATGAGATTTTTGTGGACGCAATAGACGCTACAGTGCTGTCGCAAAGGTGATGCAAAGTCGCACATTTAAGACCACGTAGATTTCGCTGCCTGGCAGATGAACTCAACAGAAGCAGCGAATGATTGGGAAAGTTCGGGTTACGGAAAATCAACAGTGAAGGTGAGGTGGAACACTGGCCGCTCCCGCCTTCTCGTGAGTTCACATTTCTTATTAAGGAAAGATGCTCGGCAATTCCACAGGTACCTCGAGCATATCAGTAATGAAATGATGATAAATAAACAAAAACTGTGTGTCTTTATTTGAGTTTGTGCTCAGTGGCGTGCGTGCGGCGAGATAGTTTGTTGCGGAGGAGTAACGGCTTTTGCGTAGAATTATTGGGAGATAGAGAGTAAGTAAACATTGAGACGTTGATAGTGAATACAATTTGTGTATTTATTTACCATCATATTATCAAGAGCTAATAATACCTTAGGAATTATAAGCTCTTGATATTATCAGGAGTGAATAATAATAGATCGATTATGATTCACTCCTGATATTATTATTGAAACGTCCAAAATGCCTGACAGGTGGGTAATTCTGCTACAGAGCTCGGTGCGTGACGAAGCACTTCGTATTTCGTTCGTGCGCGTGCGCATCGCGTGTTTTCATCGCGGTTGTTTGATACTGAGCCGCAGCGGTTGGCGGTTCACGCGTCGTGCTATTCGTGTGCTACACGGATAACGCGGGCGTATCGATCGACGTGTGGCGCCACGACGCAGCGGAGTTTTTCAGTTTTTCCTCGGCGTCCTGCCGCCACATGAGATGCAGCCACACACGCGCGCGCGCGCGCGACAGACTAGCCAAGATTTGTGCGTCTGCTCTTCCTTCTGCGCGTTATTATTATACCGAAATCGATTAATTCGGAACTGGTGTTGTGAGCGCGCCCTGTTACACTCCCAGACCTATGACTTGATCAGTTGTGATAGGCGAGCGCGATACCGATGTTTTACATTGAAAGGGTAAAGGTCAAGCAGGACACACTGCAACGACAACAACCACCGTAACGCTTGACGCCATTTGGAAAATTAGAAACTATCGCTTCGTCAACTAACTCACTTCATCAAATCATTTTGTCGCAATCGGTCATCTGTCTCTGACTGTTGTTTTCGCAATGTTGCATTGCAGCGACCGCATTAAAATAAACGACGATTATCGACCTTTGATTGGCTAATTTAGCTTAAATTTCGTTTTGCTAGATGTCACTAAGTGTGGGGAGGGGCTAAACTGATGGCCCCAACCCTCTTCGACCCATTGGTTATTCTCGGTGATTGGAAGTCACATTAGGGCCAGCTTGCTACGAAAGACGCTGGGAGTAGATATCATATTCATGATTCAACTACGCACGCACGCTATTTAATACAGATGGTAATTAGCAACGTCCAGTGACGGCCTAGTCCACAGCACAGCCGCTGATAGCGGTAGATCGTTATTCCTAGCGAAATAAATCCGACTGTTTATTCTAGATTCGTTTTTTTCGTAATTCCTTACTGAAATAATAATCTTTAGTAATGTGTGACACTGAAACCTTCTCGGCTGCTATTCGCAGTGTCGATCTAGTTGTCTGATACGTTCTGATACGTCTGATAGTTCTCTGTCGATTACGAGAATGTTTCGCCTGAGCTCTTACACACACACA